CCATCAAACACCACCACTGCCACCCCCATGACCACCCTCAAACACCACCACTACCACCACCCTCAAACGCCACCACCACTACACCCTCAAGCAACATCCGCGTTCTGATTCTTGCTTCCACTATCACTCCCAGAACCCCGCCTCTCCTCCACCTAGAACTAGCAAGGGGCAGCAGAGGCAGGTTGAGGAGCGGTCAGGTGGCCAAGACCCCTCGGGATCGGACAGCGTGCAGCCAAACAACTAACAGTCGATATCTAACTCCGATGATAAGAAGAGCCTAGTAAAAGTTCTTAAGTGGGAGCGTTTAGGGGAACACGCACGCCCTCGCCTCACCTGCCAAGGGGAGAAGGGGTGAGAGGGCAGCATGGTAAGAAGAAGTGGAAAAGGAGAAAGAGAGTGGGGAAGAATATGGTAAAGAAACGGCGAGGGAGGGACTAGAGAATGAAAAGGGGGAGGAGAGGGGGAAGAGAATGAAAAGGGGGAGGAGAGGGGAAAGAGAATGGAAAGGGGGAGAAGAGGAGGAATATAATGGAAAGGAGGAGGCAAAGGGAGAGAGGGGGAGATAAGGGAAAGGAGGAATTAGAAGAGGAAACAGAAAAAAAAGGAGGAGGGAGATTATGAACTCCGGAACAAAAGAAGGAACTGGCTGAAGAAAGCGGATTAAAAGATTGAGGAGGACAAGAAGAAAATTAATTAGAAAGAAGAAAATAAGTAAAGGAAGCAAAGGATAACGAAAATGTGTGTGTGTGTGTGTGTGTGTGTGTGTGTGTGTGTGTGTGTTTGTTTTAGTTATGACTCTTTAATGAAGTTATTGTGGTCACATTGTATCATCAACACCTTAGGGCAAACTACACATATGTAACCCTAGTACACACACACACACACACACACACACACACACACACACACACCCTTCCCACATACCCTTCTTTATTTCCACCATCGACACCCATTCTTCCCCTCCACCCACCCACCCACACACACCTTTGTCCTCTTCCACCACTATCCTCTTACACCCATTCTTCCCCTCCACCCACCCACCCACACACACCTTTGTCCTCTTACACCCATTTTCCTCCACCACCCACACACCTTACCCCTCCATACAACACACTCTTCCCCCTCTACCCATATTCCTACGCAACTCCACGTAAAAGCAGCACTATCAAGCAGGAGCAGCAAGCAGGGAGGTGGAGGCAGGAAGCACGCAGCAGTAGGCGCACCAGAAGGCATGAGACGCGACGTTCCCCCTTCTTCTTAATTCAACATTCATAGCGCCGCCGGCCCGCCTCCCTGCATTAATTACACTACCCTCTCTATAGCTCTTCCTTGTTCCTACCTTAATTATTACTCTTTTTTACTCCTTCCTTACTCTCTTATTTCTTATTTTTCCTTTACTTTCTCTCGTTCTCACTTCCTTCTTGTTGTCTCAGTTATTACTCTTTTTCACCCATTCTGTAGTCTCCTCCTCGTTCTTACCTTAATTATAGTAATCTCTTTCTATCTCCTTCTTTACTCTTTTCTTTAATCCCCTGCCTTCATCTCTTCCTGGTTTCTACTTTAATTTATCATTATAGGACTTTCTATCTCTCCATTTCAACCCTATTCGCTATCCCTTGCTATTTATTGTTCTCTCCTCACTTTCTATCATTTCTCTTCCATCTTCTAATATTTAAACCAAGGCTTACGATTATCATTATTACATTCCTACACAATAATAATAATAATAAAAATAAGAATAAAAATAATAATAAAAATAATAATAATAATAACAATAATAATAATAATAATAATATTAATAATAATCATCATCATCAAGGACCGTGTGTGTGTGTGTGTGTGTGTGTGTGAGTTCATTCCACGTTTCTCAATCTTCAGTCGGATACGTCACCTCATTTTACATACACATGAATACGGTTTTGTTTATCGAATTTCAAGTAAGGTAACGTTCGCTTCTATCTCAACACTTTCGTTAAAAAAATATTAAATTCATAACACCAAAACGCTACAATCGAGCCAAAACACCATATCTGCGGCACCATAAGACAATACTTACATCACCATAACACAATACCTGCATCACTATAACACAACACTGGCAACACTATAGTACAACACTGGCAACACTATAGTACAACACTTGCATCACCATAACATAACACCTGCATCACCATAACATAACACCTGCATCACCATAACATAACACCTGCATCACCATAACATAACACCTGCATCACCATAACACAACACCTGGACCACACCTGCACCACCACACCATCACCACATCACAACACCTGAACCACACCACCACCACACCTGCACCACCACACCTACACCACCACACCTGTATCACCACATCACCACACCTGAACCACACCTGTACCACCACCACCACATCACCACACCTGCATCAGCACAGGAAAAAATAAATAAAAGATACGCCTCCGTAGAAACATTCAAGAGCAAACACTATTTATGTTATCATTTATTCAAATTAATTATAGTCCTTCCGTCTTTCCCCTCCATTGTGGATAAAAAAAGACGATTAATACGGTGTCTGTAGCTGACAATTGAGCCTTGAGGGAGGGAAGGGAGAGGAGGGAGGAGGGGAGAGTCTTCTGATGTTGGGATGGGAGGAGGGGAGTGAGGTGGCGGAGGGAATGGGATAGGGACAGGAGGGAGGTGGGCCATTCTTGGTCTCAGTAGAGAGGAGGAGAAGGAAGAATCTCAGCTACTAAATGGTACATTGTGGTGTGTGTCATGGTGTGTGTGTGTCCATGTGTTGTGTGTCATGGTGTGTGTGTGTGTGTGTGTGTGTGTGTGTGTGTGTGTGTGTGTGTGTGTGTGTGTGTGTGTGTGTGTGTGTGTGTGTGTGTGTAATTATGTGTAATATGTTGTGTGTGTGTGTGTGTGTGTGTGTGTGTGTGTACTTAATTCATGGTACGTGTGTGTGTGTGTGTGTGTGTGTGTGTGTGTGTGTGTGTGTGTGTGTGTTCATGGTACGTGTGTGTGTGTTTGTGTGTGTGTGTGTGTGTGTAATTCGAGTGCGTGTGTGTGTGTGTGTGTGTGTGTGTGTGTGTGTGTGTGTGTGTGTATATTCATGGTACGTGTGAGTGTATAATATAATTCATTGTGTTTGTGTGTGTGTGTGTGTTTATAACGTGGTTGGTTGGTTGCTTGCTTGCTTGAGTGTGTGAGCGCGCGCGTATTTTCAATAAACTAAGCAATTCGCCAATAAATCCTCCCATACCACCTCCCTGTCTCCCTCTACTCTCTCTCTTTCACACCTAATTCATATCTACCTCTTCCCCCTCACTCCATCATTATTCTCCTCCTCTCACACCTCCTCCTCTCCTACTTACTCTCTCTCTCTCTCTCTCTCTCTCTCTCCCTATTCGCTCTCTTTCTCTCTCTAAACTTTTTTCTTTTTTCTCCTCTCATATATATTCAATTCCAAGGTGTAGCAAGACGATAGGAGAGGAAGAGTACACGTCAGAATTCCCCACATAAGTCATCGGCGAAGTAAATAATCAGTCGACGTGATTACTCGACAAGTCACAGGTTTGTCGCTACGTCATTGATCAATCACCAATTCTTGATCAATCGACATACAGTAGTGATCAGTTAAGATATCACGAGCAATTTACGTAGATATAACGTAAACTCTTTTACCATTTCTAATAGTTTTTGTTGTTATTACTCTAATGAAGCACCCGTTCTTGTGTTTTGTGCTTCAAAGAGCTTAACTGTTGAAGCACGTGAACACATTGTAACACCTGCATGCACGTAGAAGCACCTGCGCAGAACGCATAAACAGTGCCCTGCATGAAACAAGTGAACGCATAGCAACATGAACACGTGAACACATTTAACACACCTGCACAACACGTGCACATAGAAAACGTGAACGAAACACCTGCATAGAAGCACGTAACACGTTAAACACGTGAACACATTATAACACCTGCATAGAAGCACGTGAACACATTATAACACCTGCATAAAAGCACGTGAACACATTGTAACACCTGCGAGAAGCACGTGAACACATTATAACACCTGCATAGAAGCACGTAACGTACACATTATGGAGCACCATAAAAGCATTGAACACATTGTAACACCTGCATAAAGCACGTGAACCTGCAACGCAACAGAACACTGCATAGTGCATAAACACTGAACGTACACATGTAACACCTGCGCCGAAACACCTGCATAGAAACGTGAACACATTAAAACACCTGCATGACACTATATAACACCTGCATAAACACGTGAACATTGTAACACCTGCATAGAAGCACGTGAACACGTTATAACACCTGTAGAACACCTGCAACAGCATAAAGCACGTGAACACGTGAACACCTGCATTGTAACGTTAACACGTAACACCTGACAATTGAACACAAGCACCTGCACACAAGCACGTGAACACATTGTAACACCTGCACACGTGAAACACGTGAACACGTGCACGCGTAAACACGTGAACACATTGTAACACCGTATACCTGTGAACACATGAACACGTGCCACCTGCAAGCAGAAGCACGTGAACACATTGTAACACCTGCATAGTGAACACATTTACCTGAAGAAAACCAACACGTGAACACATTTGGCTTGAACACATTGTAACACCTGCGGATGGGAGGTTGGGACAGGACAACACCGCCACAGGGAAGAGAACAAATTACTGTAACGCCAGAAGGATTATGAAGACACTCTCCCTGACAACAAGATGTGAGGAAAGACATTACAATCCTGCCATCTTTAAGCCTTTACAAAACAAACACTGACAGGACTAAACCCAGGATGTTTTAAGCATGTCAGCAAATCCTCATCCTTAAAGAAGACAACATACTATCCCTAAAATACAAACTACAGGAATCAAGTGTTATGTATCACTGTAAAAAGATACTTCTTAAAATATCTTAAATCCTAAAGTTACTCCCTAAAATAGAGAAGAGTGGTACAAAGGGATGAACACTCACCGGAAATTTGAGAACCATTTAACGAGTTGGGCAGTGTTGTTCTTGTTAAATTTGATGTCCGGGAAGTACGTCTTGAGCACTGAGGACGAGGGGTACCGTACGAAGAAGAACATGAGCTTCGCCTTACGCAGGTGCATCGGCGTCAGTGTGCTGGAGTGCGCTGGAGTTAAGGGGAAAAACCTCAATGTAGAATTTCACACAAACAAAATCATAAATCAGAAAGCGATCCAAGTATACATATATAAAATGTTACTGGGGCATCCCAACTACTAGAGAACGGAAGTTCAATATTCACTGTCTCTATGAAAACGATATTATGATATTCCCGTCAGCAGAAAATTAGAATTCTAACTTCTTCTGGGTAAAAATCGAAAATAGATTTCAATCGATTTACGAGAAACTGTGAATTACATTCTCGATCATTAGAAAATGGGATACAAATATTCTCCTTGGCTTAGCCTTAGAGAATGTTAGCTAAAGTATTCGCTAAAATAAAGTAAAGAATATATATATATATATATACATATATATATATATATATATATATATATATATATATATATATATATATATATATATATATATATATATATATATATATATATATATATATATATAGTTTATAATCTATTAGCTTCCTTAATTAGTAGCTGGGATGGGGTTTGTTCTACGTGTATGCTTCGCAGAAATAAGCAGTTTAGGTGAAGGTATTCACAAATCAATGTTTTTTCTTTTTGTGTTTACATGAATTAAGAGCAGTTCGTGCACTGGTGTTTACGACGTATAAGTCTCAATGATTGATGAAGCCAAACGTGAGTGGCCTTGACTAAGTGCACTAATACTCAAGGCGAGACTCACAACAGACACCAGATGCTAAACGTGCTGAGGACACTGAATGTTTAACATGACATTACTATGAAACTACTGGGGTAAGACATTGTTATCAAGTAAGACAATATGCTAGACTTATCCAGTAAATGAGTTTCAATGGGGGAACAATATTTGTTGATGAAAAACATACACAAGGTTGAGTCGTGCAGTAAAGGTGTTCAAAGGAAGGAATATCTCGTTTATTTATATCAAAACATGAAAATGGTCATGCAGGAAATTTTTTCTGGATATGTAATAGACGTAGGAGTAGAAATCAACTTGAGAGGGTCGGGACGTGTGCCAGTAGCAAGAGGAAGAGGGTGAGGGAGGTGCACCCTTGGCTCACCAACACAACAACCGTCACATAACAATCTCAGCCCTGCCGCCCGAGATCATTGTGCCCATCACCGCCAGATAATGAGATAATTGACCCGTTAGTTATGAATAATTGAGAAATTAATCAGCCTATGTGGAGCCAAGGTTCCCTGAGGTGGGTGGCGGTGGACACCTGAGAGACGCAGACGGGTCTTCAAGGAGGTAAATAAGACCCTACGCCAAGACCTGGCACTGGTGTAGTCCCTCGACTGACAGAGGGTAGGGCGGGGGTGGGGAGAAGGAACACACCTAAGGGGATGGGGAGGGACGGGATGAGGGAAGTTATCAAGGTCTGTGTGATACTATTAAGAGGGACTTACAAGGGAGGAGGGAGCTGGGGCGGGGGGATCACCAGGCCTTGGAAACCTCAGGTTGTGGACAAATACAGTTTCACTGTGGGGCTTCTTGTGACGAGTCTCAAGGATTAATCCACAAGTATAACAGAGAATAAAAAAGGTATATTGTGTGCATTCCTTTCCCCGGACACTGTGTGGCTACGTTACACCTTGGTAACTAGTATTACACGACACAACTTATCGCTCTGTTAACTAGCAATTCACCTCAAAATGTTTGATGTCAACAATATAAAAAACGCAGTCATCTGATTGGCTAGACACTGGCGAATCATAGCGTCTCTTACAAGGTTTCGAGCCCCAAATAAGATCTTGAGTCGACCCCAAATCCAATTAGGAAGTCAGAGTATAGCCGCACCCTGTAGACGTCGGCGAACCGCAAGTCGGATCGTCCGAAATAAGAGTAGGATCGACCACGACTGAAGCCCCACAAGGTAGAGCAGGCGACGAATCACGCAACCGACCCTCTTTGTGCCGACTTTGCAATGGAATCTAACACGGCCACTTCCTCTACACTACCATCACACCACTACCATGATCGTGGCGGTAATACTCCAAAATGTGTAGATAATTTGAGAAATTATGACTCCTTTCGAGACCAACTATAAGACACCGTTGATGCAAGCACCAAGACCTGCCAAAGAGATTGTTTTGATGCCGGGCCCCTAAACGAGGTGTGTAACCTGAGCCTCACGCCGGCTCTTCTCACAGCCAAACCCGACTTCCGTCCGGGTCCAGATTACCCGAGATGATCCGCAGATTAGCCACGAGTCGTTGCGGATCCTTCAAGATTACCGTCACAAAACACTGGGGTTTCCGCCACAGCTATTGGTGTGTGTCTGACTGAGCCGGAGGTCAGAGGCATGAGCTGAGGAAAGTGTTGAAGGGCATGGTGGAGTGAGAGGGAAAAGTGGAGTGACAGGGAGAGGTGGAGTGACAGGGAGAAGTGGAGTGACAGGGAGAGGTGGGTGTGGACGCATATGTGGTGTGGCGGTGAGGATTTGACGGAGTGCGGAGCCGAGACATGTGGTGGATGGGCCAAGACGCGTGGTAAAGGGATGAGGACGTGTGGTGAGGAGGGTGAGGGACGTGGTGGAAGTAGGACAAGTTCCATACACTAACTGTTTATTGTGTGCTGGAGAGCTGTAGTGATCCGTGTGTGCATCTTTATCTACTGCGTGTGGTGGGACTTCTGTTTGTGGAGAGACTATATACAGCGAGTGGAGAAAGGGACAGCAGGTGTGGAGTGACCAACAGGTGTGGACTGACACACTTGTCAAAGCCATCATTATAGCAAATGACCAGTCCAGCCTCAAGTGTTTTGCTGACACCTTCAGGGTGACGCTCAAGACATGAATCACCTAATTAACCCCTCCCCTCCCTCGCCTCAAGGACATCTTGACGCACACGCGCGGACTACACCAACCTCTGTGTCCTGCTGCTACATGAACCAAACTCCCTCGAGCCTAAACACATAACCTTCGTACTCGGCGCCTATAAATGGACATAAACATATACACACACACACACACATATACACCCTCGGTCGAGTGATATCAACCTCTGAGGAATCTTACCTTAGAGGTCAGAGTGACGTGTTTAAGTGTGTTTTGCTACAGACGTGTATATATGTGTGTGTGTGTGTGTGTGTGTGTGTGTGTGATGCTACAGGTGTGTTAGGTCTATACTCACAGGTGTCGCAGGGGTGGCTGATCAAGCCGGTTGACCTTTCATTAGGGAAGATGTTGAACGGTCCGCTCGCGCGCATGTTCCTCTCGACTGCCGCACGATCTAGAATTTACCAAAGTCTTAAAATATGGAATGGGCGCGCGCAGCTGTACAGCGGCCGGAGCGGTAGGGCTATGTGCAGGTGTTGTGAGAGCTGGGGGACGTAGAGTTGTGTGCCTGTGTTGGGAAGTAGGGCTGTGTACAGGTATTATGGACAATGTAAGATAGTATGCAGGTATTTTGAGGGCGTAAGGCTGTGTATGTGTCGTGGGGTGTCGCAGGGTTGTGTGTGTGTGTGTTGTGGATGTAGTCGAAATCTATGGGGGACGTGTACAGGTGTTGTGGGAGGCCGTAGGGTGATGAGAGGAGCGGTGACCGCCATTACATCTGCTTGGGGGTAATCAACAATGAACATGTAAGTATGACCTGTCATTCACTGAGCTTAGTGACGCATCTGCCAGTCTGTCACCCCAGTCGCCCTTCTAAACACGCGCTATACAACACTGTGTCACGCTATACATCGCTTTGTCACGCTGTACATCGCTGCGTCAGTTTATACAATGCTATGTTATGTTACACAACGCTAATTTGCGCTATACAACACTGCGTTACGCTATACAATCTATGTCACGCTGTACATCATTGCGTTAGTTTATACAATGTTATGTCGCGCTACACAACGCTATTTTGTGCTATACAACGCTGCTCCACACTATAAAACGTCAGGTCACGTTATACAACACTCTGTCATACACTACAACACCCTGTCACGCTATGTAACACTGTTTTACGTTGTACAGTAATGCATCATGTTAAACAACGCTACACAACACCAGGTCAAATTAAACAACACTATACCACGCTAAACACTATACCACGCTAAACAACACTATACCACGCTAAACAACACTATACCACGCTAAACAACACTATACCACGCTAAGCAACACTATACCACGCTAAACAACACTATACCACGCTAAGCAACACTATACCACGCTAAACAACACTATACAAAGCAACACTATACCACGCTAAACAACACTATACAACACTAAGCAACACTATACCACGCTAAGCAACACTATACCACGCTAAGCAACACTATACCACGCTAAACAACACTATACAACACTAAGCAACACTATACCACACTAAGCAACACTATACCACGCTATTAACCTAAGAGCACGTATTAATGCTTTAACAAATACTCTTTAACTTTGTTTCATTCTCTTATAAACATACGATAGCCTAAACCTAACCACCCATCCATCTCACCCTAACCACCCATCCATCTCACCCTAACCACCCATCCATCTCACCCTAACCACCCATCCGTCACCCTAATCAGCGTCAATTCGTTTAGCTCTTAGTTCGTTGACTCGTACACCTAACGACCCATTAACGACCCTAACTGCTTGTTCCTCGTATATGTGTGTGCGTGTGTGTGTGTGTGTGTGTATGAATGTGTGTGTGTGTGTGTGTGTGTGTTAACTGGTGGCGGTAGTTAACTCGCTCCTGCTACGGTAAAAATAATGGTCGCTGTTAACAGTAGTTGATGTGAGGCGTGAGGATCTCCACCACCTCCCATTGGTTCCCACAAGCCACGCCCACTGGTTTTAGCTCCGCCTAGAGATTGGAAGCCCCGCCCACAGGACACTCGCCAACAATCTAGCTCCTCCCGTAGGATATAACTTTGCCTGCGGGTTATGGCTAGTATGTGTATGGGTTAGCTCCACCTACACATTATAACCCCCCCTACGGCTTTCAACTCCCCCTCCAAGTCATAGCTCCGCCTACTGGTCCTAGTTCCGTCTATAGCTCCGCCCTTATCAGAAGAGCTTCACTTCACTGCCAACGCTATATAGCTCCAGAATATCCCTTACGTTCACTGTCCACGCCCACACTAAATAGTTCCCCCCGCCCCACTGAAAAACTCCACTCACCTAACCCTTACCATACACACCACGCTATATAGCTCCGCCCTATCGTTTACACCGTGCTAAATAACTCCACCCCCCAAAAAAATCTTACCATCCAGGTCAATCCTATCTGGCTCCACCCCCCCGCATAACGGCCTCACTAAATAGCTCCGCCCACAGTTAGTAACTCCGCCTTTAACCTACGCCTTCCGCCTACCGGACTGTTCCGCTTCCACTTAACACAGCTCCGCCCACCCTCCACGCCTACTAGATCGCTCCGCCCACTCTCCACGCCCCACAAAATCGGGTCCCGCCCACGCTTAACATCTCCGCGACCCACGCCTACACTTCTCTCGCTAGCTTGGACACCTTAGCAGAAAATCAATAAACCGTAGAATCGCCGCTACCCGTCGAGTCTCATGTGGCATATATTAATGAATAAATACAATTATCTAAGAGAGAGAGAGAGAGAGAGAGAGAGAGAGAGAGAGAGAGTAGACAGGGAAACATTATTTAAAAAAAAATTAAATTCACTCCAAAGGAAATGAGAAAAAATCAAGAGAAACCAGAAAAATAGAACACGAAATATGAAGGAAAATAGAGAGAAATAGAATCCTTAAAGAAAATAATGAAATAAAATGCACAAAAAAAAAGTAACAGGGAAAATGAGATGATTGAGTCAAGGAAAGAAGATTTGAGAAAAGAGAAATATAGGAGAACGGGAAACAGGACAAGGGAAAGATAAAAAAAAATAGCTCAAAAGAGTAAATAAGCAACACAAAGAAACAAATGGAGAGTAAAGAGGGAAAGTAAAATAAGACAAGAAGAAAGTAAAGAAAGACTAGGGAAAGTAGATAAACAAGAGAGTAAATAAAAAGAATAATAGCAACAAAATGTAAACAAACGAAAGTAAAGAAGGCGAATAGAAAGTTAATTTACAATACATAGAGGAATGAAAGAATAGGAAATAAAGAATGATAGAAAGTATTATAAGAAAAGAGAAAGTAAATAATGAAAACAATCCAGTGAAATTAGAAAGTAAACATAAAAACATCAGAAAGTAGATGAAGAAAGTTGATATTTTAGAAAGTAATGAGAAAGTCTATACACAGGAACAAGTAAGAGATTAACAGATAAATCTTGGTAGATTATAGACGAGGTGACTGGCCCTCTCCTCACACACACACATGCATACAGACACACATGCTCTCTATCACTCATACACACACGCGGCCTTTCACTCGTAAACACACACACACACACACACACACATTACCCATTACTCTCTCTCTGCCTTGTCCATCCACTCACTCTCTCTCTCTCTCTCTCTCTCTCTCTCTCTCTCTCTCTTCACCTTACACTGGGCCTCACCTCACTACAGAAGTTGCTCAATAGCCAATAGAAACAGACAATCACTAGACTAACAGCTTGCTGATTGGTGGTTGGCGGTATCATGCAATAGGGGGAGGGGAAGGTAGGGGGGCCAAGAGAGAGAGAGAGAGAGAGAGAGAGATTGGGGAATGGGAGGGAGGAAAGAGAAGGGGGGGAAAGGAACAGAAAACGGTAGTTAGTAAGGGGAGGAGGAGGGGGTTATAGAAAACGCTACTTAAGAATTAGCAACGGAAGGGTAAGGAAGGGGAGGGAGGGAAGGAGAGAGGGAAGGAAGGAGAGAAGGAGGATTGGGTTAGAGAACACGATAATTAGCAGACCAAAAGAGGAAAAGGGAGTAACGGAGGAATAGAATGAGAAGACGGAAGGTAATGAAGGAGAGATAAACAAACATGTGTCTATGATAAAAGAAAGAGGGAGAGAGAGAGAGAGAGAAAGAGAGAAAGAGATTAGATAAAGGAAGGAAGGAAGACAAAAGAGGGCATGAAGATAGGAGGAAGAGAAGACAAAGAGGGCGAAAAGACAAGAAGGAAAATGAGGGAAAGAAAACAGGAGATGGAGAGGAGGGGAGAAGAGGAAGGAGAGAAAGGAGTATAAGAGGATGAGAGAAGGAAGACAGGAGGAGGAAGAAGGGGAGGAGGAGGAAGAAGAGAAGAAGAGAAAGAAGAAAGAAAGGAGTAAAAGATGTGGAAGAGGAGAGAAGAGGAGAAAAAAAAAGAGGATGAGGTAAATTATGACGAACAAGAAGATAAAAATATAAAAAAGCAAAACAGGAAACACAATAAGAGAAAGAAAAAACAAAGATGGAAAACGAGGAATAAGAGAAATAAGAAATAATAGGAGAAAGTAATAATTGGAGGAGATGAAACAAAATTACATTATAAGTGTTAGCTACATCTCGTGGGTAAGGATAGGTTAAGGTTAGTACAGTCGTGGGTAAGGATAGGTAAGGAACATCACATTACATCTCATAAGTAAGGCAGGCAAGAACCAGGCATAGGTAAAAATAGGTAAGGACTAGTTCACCTCGTGGGTAAAGGTAAGCTACGTTTTGGGCAGAGCTTAAGGGAGATGGCCAGCAATGAGGTAAGATAATGGGTGAATAATGGGGAGAGGAAGGGGGAGGAATGTATGAGATGCAACGTGGGGAATACTTATATAAATGATGGGGATATTGGAAGCACTGAGGTAATTTAATGGGGAGATGGGAGCACTGAGGTTTGGGAGATGGGGAGCACGGAGGTAAATAATGGGGAGATGGGGATCACTGAGGTAAATACTGGGAGATGGGGAGCACTGAGGTAAATAATGGGAGATGGGGAGCACTGAGGTAAATAATGGGAGATGGGGAGCACTGAGGTAATTTAATGGGGAGATGGGAGCACTGAGGTTTGGGAGATGGGGAGCACGGAGGTAAATAATGGGGAGATGGGGATCACTGAGGTAAATACTGGGAGATGGGGAGCACTGAGGTAAATAATGGGAGATGGGGAGCACTGGGGAGGTAAATAATGGGGAGATGGGGAACACTGAGGCGGAATAATGGGGAATGGGGAGCACTGGGGGTTGGGAGATGGGGGAGCACTGGGGTAAATGGCAGGAGATAGGGAGCACTGGGGGTAAATAATGGGAGATGGGGCACTGGGGTAAATAATGGGGAGATGGGGAGCACTGGGGTGGAAATAATGGGAGATGGGAGCACTGGGAGTAAATAATGGGAGATGGGAGCACTGGGGTTTGGGAGGATGCGAGGGAGCTGGAGGTGGTAATGGGATGGGGAGCACTGAGGGTAAAATGTGGGAGATGGGATCACTGGGGGTAATAATGGGAGATGGGGAACACTGGGGTGGAAATAATGGGAGATGGAGACACTGGGGGTAAATGTGGGAGATGGGGGCACTGGGGGTAAATGTGGGAGATGGGGATCACTGGGGTAAATAATGGGAGATGGGAGCACTGAGGTAATTTAATGCTGGGGAGATGGGGAGCACTGAGGGTAAATAATGGGGATGGAGAGCACTGGGAGTAAATAATGGGAGATGGGGAGCACTGAGGTATGGGGAGCACTGGGGTAAATAATGGAGATGGGGAGCACTGCTGGGGGTAATAACAGGAGATGGAGAGCACTGGGGTGATAGTGGGAGATGGGGAGACACTGGGGTGAAATGTGGGGATGGGGCACTGGGGTAAAATATTGGAGATGGGGAACACTGGGGTAAATGTGGGAGATAGGGCACTGGGGGTGGAAATAGTGGGGAGATGGGGGCACTGGGGTGGAAATGTGGGGAGATAGGGAGCACTCCAGGAGTGGCCGTGGGATGGGGAACGCTGGGGTATGGGGGCACTGGGGGGTGAAATAATGGGAGATGGGGAGCACTGAGGTAAATAACGGGGAGATGGGGAGCACTGACGTAAATGGGATTGGGAACACTGGGGTGAATAATAGGAAAATGGGGAGCACTGGGGTAATATAATGGGGAGATTAGGAACACTGGGGGGAATAATAGGAAAATGGGGAGCACTGGGTTAAATAATGGGGAGATGGGAGCACTGGGGTAAATAATGGGGAGATTGGGAACACTGGGGTGAATAATGGGGAGCACTGGGGTAAATAATGGAGAGATTGGGAACACTGGGGTGCTTATCTATGGAGACATAACACTAAGGTAAATGGGGAGAGGAAATATCTAGATAAACAGTACAAAGATGAGGAAGCATTTAGGTAACAAAAAATAGGGTTAAGGTCAACTAATAGGAAGAATGAGGTAAGTGGGTAATTGAGGGAAATTAAGGTAACCGTAGTTCATGGGAAGTGAGAGAGAGTATTATGGTAAATATTTGTAAATAAAAATAATAGGGTGTATGATGGCAGAGAATAGGTAATGATGAAATTGTAGGGAACTTAATGTTAGTTGAATAGGTAAAGGTGATATTTCAACACAGTGGAGATGGATAATAGGTAACACAGTGGGTGATATGGGTGATAGGCAACACTGATGAGATGGGTGATGAGTGGTAAACACTGATGAGATGGGTGATAGGTAAACACTGATGAGATGGGTGATAGGTAAACACTGATGAGATGGGTGATAGGTAAACACTGATGAGATGGGTGATAGGTAAACACTGATGAGATGGGTGATAGGTAAACACTGATGAGATGGGTGATAGGTAAACACTGATGAGATGGGTGATAGGTAAACACTGATGAGATTAGATGATGTGATAGCACTGATGAGGATGGGTGATAGGGTAAACACTGATAAGATGGGTGGGTAAACGCACTGATGGGATGGGTGAAAACACTGATGAGATGGGTGATAGGTAAACACTGATGAGATGGGTGATAGGAAAACACTGATGAGACACTGATGAGATGGGTGATAGTACACTGATGGTGGGTGATAGGTAAACACTGATGAGATGGGTGATAGGTAAACACTGATGAGATGGGTGATAGGTAAACACTGATGAGATAGGTGATAGGACATAAGTTGAGGATAGTTAATTGGGTATGGATCAGGTAATGGGTCAGGTAAATGGGGAAGTAAGGAAGGTAAATAACAAATAGAGTGACTACCAGGATGAGACACACATAAGAATGAGGAAGAGGTGAGAAACTTAGTACCAGAGTCAGAGGTGAGAAACTTAGTACCAGAGTCAGAGGTGAGAATATTAGTACCAGAGTCAGAGGTGGACGAAGAAGAGGTTTTAAGATAACAAATGACTCGTGAGAGATTACTGGGATAACAGGTGAGGGAGGGAGACAGGGAGGAGAGATATTAGACGAGGATTATTGGAACAAGAAGTAAAGAGGATTGACGGACTGCACCAGAGAGGGAGGAAAAGGGATTGATGCAGAGAGGAGTTGACAATGGTGGAGTCGGTGGTGTGTGGGAGGCTGAACGGGTGTGTGGGGTGAGGGAGGTGTCACTGTGGGGGCCAGGTATTGTCCATGGGAGGTTGGGGGGAATTCTAGTGAGGGATGAGGAGAGATGGTGGGTGGGTGACTGGTACAAGCAGAGGCTGGGTGGTGCCACGATAACATTCACAACAAGTTGTTGATAACTTGGCCAGCATATACCTTGGTGTGGTGTGTGATGAGGAATAATATGAGAAATATAATTCCTCGTCCATAAGGCCAAGTGTGTGTGTGTGTGTGTACGCACGTGTGGGTGCATCAGTGTGAGGATGTGAGTGTGAGGATGGGATGGATAGATATACAAGCCACTTTCTGCGAAGCAAACATAGAGAACAAACAATTGGAGTTGATATTTACGTTCAGGTGAATAAAAGGATATAGTAGGCTGGACTCCGTCGTAGTGTGGGTCTGCTGGCGAACAATCTGAGGCGCGGTCGTGGTCGCCGTGCAGGAAGCGTGAGAAGGAGTCCGGTGAGGAGGCTGCCAGGAGCGCCGGATGCAGCAGCGGGTGAGGGTGTGGGGGCGGAGGACCTGCAGGAGACTCCTCCCGCCGGCCGTCCATGGGAGAAGACGCCCGGTGCCCATAGTAGCTGGGATAGAGTAGACTGGTGTCGTGCAAAGATGGGTTGGGGATGGCCACGGAGGTGGGCAGTGATACTGGCAACAAGGGTGGGGGTTGGGGGAAGGAGGTGGGCCGATGGTGCGGGTGGTGGCTGGGTGGCGGTGGGGGAGGGGAGCTGCGAGGGGACGTCTGCCCACCCATCCCTGGCAGGGGTCCGTAACGGGGGTAGTCCTCCAAGAGGCGGCCAACCGTGCGGGGCGTTAGGCGAGAATCCGTCACCTTATGTCGCTTCACCTTCTTAGGTGTAACCACTAGCGGGAGGGCCTCATCCTGCTCTGGCTCCATCCCGCCGAAGGGGGAGGTCTGCCCGCTAGGGATCATCCCGCCCATGGGAGGCAAGTTGCCGTGGAAGAACCCATGTGGGGGTTTGTAGAGAGGTGGTCGTAGGTGTGGTAGATTGAGGTTGTTGAGGTTGTTTTCAGAGCCTGGGTAGGGTGAGAGGTTGAGAGGTCCGTGGGGGGCGGGCATGCCGTTGAGTCTGGGCATGTTGGGAGGCCCTCGATCCAGCATCTTGTGAGAACGTGGGGAGCGGGACCGTTCCATGAGCTGCGAGGCAATGTCCCGATTGAGCTGCTCAGCGGCCACCTCCGCCTGTTTGGTGAGCAGTTTTCTTTGCTGTACATACTTGTTGACTATGGTGTCGATGATGACGGCTAGGGAGGCGGTGATCTCCGTCTTGAGCACGTCGGCCAGGCCCTCCAAGTCCGTCACCTGAGACCCTAAACTTAAGTTTCGCAAGAGCTGCAGTTTCTCATTCAAGTCGGTGTTCTTCATGTCGTTTTCCCTCTGTAATCGCGCCTCTTGGTTACGGATTAAACGCTGGGCATAATCCAGGAGGTAGGAAGAGGCGTCGTTGGAGTCGTTTGAGGAGGTGGAGGTGGGAGGTTTGGGTGAGGGGGGTCGTTGTGGCTCCGGGGACCGTCGCCTCACACTCAGGTCAATCTGTAAACCCCCCTCCTCACCAGACTCCGCCACCCGAGACTCCACCTGCTCATCGTCTTCAAGTCGTCTCGTCTTATTATCAGGCTCAGTCGCAGCCTCGCCTTCCTCGTTTTGTGAGTCATAGTTGGGTCGTGTCTCGTGTTGTTGTGGCAAGTACAATTTCCGCTTCTTGCACCCATTGACGGTTGTGTTGGGGGTGGGCGAGGAACGGATCACACTCACTATATTCTCCAGACGTTTCCTAGGTTCTGGGGAGTCAGTGCGCGGACTGTTCTGACTCATGGTCTCCTCCACCTCAGACTCACACCGCGCGTCTTCCGCAGACACACTGTTCTCGTCTCTGCCCGCGTTAGGCTCCTCATTGTTGGCCTCCACAGAGTCCGTCGCCCCCTTGTAACTATTGTTATTGTTGTGTAAGGAGCGGGCAGCCTCAATCTCCTCCATAGTAAGAAGGTCCCGTTTACGTCCCTGAAGGATTTCACGTAAGAGCACGTTATCTGGCTCTGGTCCCCGAATCACCGAGTTCACTGCATCAGCACTATGCACGCTAGAGCTTGTCACTTTGTCCAATACACCCATGGTTGACACTGTGTCTTCAGGCGGGCAGGGCGCCACAGGCTTGGTGTGGGCGCCGAACAACTCACTTAGCATACCGCGCGAACCCACCGTGGGTGGGGGGTTGAAATAGTTCACAAATGGTAGTCCACAAAAGGGTTGACTTGCACTGAAGAGGTTAGGAGCACTTCCCGGCCTGACTGCATTAACACTAACACCACACAAGTTGGGTAAACTACTGAAGGCCGAGTAAGAGTTCCTTGGCTCTCCGGCGTCTACTCTTGTTCTGATCCGTTTCGGTTTCTTCGACAGCTTTTCTCCTAGCATGAAGCAATCGCTTTCTTCGTCGTGAGCCATTGCGGTAGGGAGCGCGCCGATTGGTGGAGGATGCATGGAGGGAGGAGCGAGAGGTAGCGGCGGCCAATAGGGTGGCGCTACGTCACGAGGGCCGATTCTTAAGCCACCAACCAGGCTGCTTGGCTCATCCGGTGCGCCTGTAAGGGTAAGAAAGACGTACGTGAGTATGTTGAGGATGCGCAATGGCGACTTCTTCGCGGTTTATAATATATTATAATATATAATTATGTTAAATATGTTAATTATATGATAATACACAATGTAATATAAAAGTATATGAAAATGAGTGAAATGATCAGGCAGCCCAAATGACATAGAAAAAGGTGTAGACTCCGGACATGGAATCATCTAAATAGCGGCCGCTGGCATATTTCCCGCGTTACAATCGCACCCCCCGTGACATGAGGACCCTCCCTGTAGCCCTTACCAGAATCACCAATGAGGCTCATGAGAAAACAACTCCAGCTAACTTATCCAATTATATGAAATAAAACTATCTCTCGTATAACATACATTAGTTACTCGAGATGGTTTCACAGATCGTTATGTTTGTATGCCTGCAGTAACAAAATTATATATTATTATTCAATCAGCGCCGAGCTATGAATGAAAACACCAGGTTAATACACTCTTGTACAAAAACCAAAACACGAAATAATAACAGTAAAAAAATGTGTATGTATGTAATCAAATATGGACGAGAGAGATGGGTATGACAAAGCATGACAAACGGGTGTAAAGAGATTGTGTAATATGAATATATACACGGAGGCAGAGTCGGGCTAGCGGCCGCACACACCAGCGCTCTCTCTCTCCCCACAATTCGACAATAATGACAACAACACGAACGACTTGCCGGGCTAGAAGTGGACAGCCGCGTGCGAATCGGAGCACCGAATCACTTTATATTTTATAAGGATACCCGCACCAGCAAAGGAATTACTAGATGGAGGGGGGGGGAGGGGGGCTTGAGGCTGTGGTGGCTATCTTACAAGTGGAGGAGGACCTTGCCACTTATACGGTGTTAGTTGAGGGTGAGGTAAGTCTTGTCTTGGGCGGAGGGGGGCTTGAGGCTGTGGTGGCTATCTTACAAGTGGAGGAGGACCTTGCCACTTATACGGTGTTAGTGGAGGGTGAGGTAAGTCTTGTCTTGGGCGGAGGAGGAGGGAAGGTCTGACGGCCGAGCGGGAGAAGGGTAGTGTAGTGACTTAGCGAGGTGGTTTGTGTGTGTGTGTGTGTGTGTGTGTGTGTGTGTGTAGGGAGCGGAGAAACAGAAAGAGGAGAGAGAGAGAGAGGGAGGAGCAGCTGAACAGATGAGGGAAAAAGAGAAAAGAGGGGTTGGCGTGGGGTCGTGGAAGAAAGCATATACAAATAGAATTTTTGGAATAACAGTTCATAGTGAGACTGTAGTAATACACACACACACACACACACACACACACACACACACACACACACACACACACACACACACACCGGCTGTCCTACAACAAAAATACATCACTTCATGACACGTGGTGAGGGGGGGAGGGAGGAGAGGAAGAGGAGGGAAGGGAAGGGGGAGGAGGAAAGGGGAAGGGGGAGGAGGGGAGGAGTGAGTGCAAAAGCAATATAAAAATGTAACATATCTGTTGAGAAGTAACGTCATGAATGAATGGATAGAAGAAGGGACAGAGCTAGTAGGCTGAGAGATAGATGGATAGGAGTAGCAAGAAGGATTAGGCCATCAGACTGATAGATGGATAGCAGGTAAACACAGGATAGATGGAGAAGCAGCGGGAAGAAGGATAGAGTTAACGGGAAGGATGGCTAGCGGGGAGAAGGATAGTTAATGGGGAAGGGATAGTTATTGGGGAGAAGGATAGTTGATGGGGAAGAAGGATAGTTTTGGGGAGAAGGATAGTTGATGGGGAAGGATAGTTGTGGGGAGGAGGTGGCGGAGAGAAGAAGGATGGTTAGTGGGGAGAAGAGATAGTTAGTGGGGAGAAGGATAGTATAGCGGGGGAGAAGGATAGTTGATCGGGGAAGGATAGGTATATGGCGGGGGAAGGATAGTTAGCAGGGAGGAAGGATGATTGTGTGAGAAGGATAGTTGGCGGGGAGAAGGATAGTTAGCGGGGAGAAGGATAGTTAGCGGGTGAAGGATAGAAGTTAGCAGGAGAGAGTGGTTGCGGGAGAAGGATAGTTAGTGGGAGGAGGATAGGTATAACGGGGGAGAGGATAGTTAGTGGGGAAAGGATAGGAATAGCAGGGAGAAGACTAGTTAGCGGGGAGAAGGATAGAGTTAGCGGGGAGAAGGATAGTTAGTGGGGAGGAGGATAGGTATAGCGGGGGAGAAGGATAGTTATGGGGGAAAGGATAGTTAGCGGGTAGAAGGATAGAGTTGGCGTGGGAAGGATGGTTAGCGTGGAGAAGGATAGTTAGCGGGGAAGGATAGTTAGCGGGAGAAGGATGGTTGGCGGGTAGAAGGATAGAGTTAGCGTGGAGAGGATAGTTGGCGGGGGAGAAGGATAGTTGCGGTGAAGGATAGAGTTAGCGGGGAGAATGATAGGTTAGCGGGGAAGGATGGTTAGTGGGGATAGATATGGCGGGGAGAAGGATAGTTGGGGAAAGATAGTTAGCGGTAGAGGGATGGAGTTGGCGTGGAAAGGATAGTTGGCGGAGAAGGATGGTTGGGGAGAAGGATAGAGTTAGCGGGGAGAAGGGATAGTTAGCGGGAGAAAGGATAGGTGGCAGGGGGTGTTGTAGCGGGGAGAAGGATAGTTAGCGGAAGGATGGGTGTGGGGGAGAAGGATAGTTAGCAGGGAGAAGGATAGTTAGCAGGGAGAAGGATAAGTTAGCGGGGAGAAGGATAGTTAGCGGGAGAAGGATAGTTAGCCAGGGAGGAAGGATGGGAGCTTGAAGAGAGGAGGATAAATGATGAGAGACAGAGGGATAGAGAAATGAGTGAAGAAAGTAGAATGATGGGAGAAGAGAAGAAGGAAGGGTGAGAGAAGAGAGAAAGGGTGAGAGAATAGGCGATAGAAGGGAGAGAAGAAGAGAAGGAAGGGTTGAAAGAGAGAGAGGAAGGGTGAGAGAAGAAGAGAGAAGGAAGGGTGAGAGAATGTGGGGGGAGGAGATGGGGCTGTGGGAAAGAGATAGGAAAGAGGAAGGATGGGAGAGACAGAGAAGAAGAAGAATAAGAAGAAAGAAGGAGGTGGATGGCGATAAATGATGAGTGATAATGAATAATGAGAATATGAAAAAATAAAGAAAAAGGAAGGAATGAAAGTTAGAAGAGGAAAATATAAGAAATGAAGAAGGAAGAGGGAAAAGAAAAAGGAGAGAATAGAAGGAAGTGATAGACGAAGAGGAAGAATAAGAGGAAGAGAATAATAATAATAGAAAGAGGGAGAATATGTGAAGGAGGAGGAGTAGGAGGAGGAGGAGGAGGAGGAGGAGGAGGAGGAGCGGTGGTCGCGCGACTCTTCAGTGTTATCGATCGTGTGGCCTCTGGTCAGCTGTGGCGACGATGTTGGTCCTACCGCCCACCAGCACCCCGCCACCCACCAACCGCCCATCGCACCTATCCGCCACCCATTCCCTGTTTACCTTTGGTCAGCTGTGGCGACGGTGTTAGTCCTACCGCCCACCAGCTCCACCCGCCCACCCGCACCTGCCGCCCACCACCGCCACCCATTCCCGCCCATTTTATGGTCAGCTGTGGCGACGATGTTGGCTACTACACAACCCACCGCCACCCACCCTGTAATCACTGCACCACCCAAGCTGCCTACACCCCTCACCGCCCATCCATCCACCTATCCTCTGGTCAGCTGTTGTTCTACCCACCGCCGCCCACACCCATCTTTTTCACCTATACATTAGCCAACACAATCAGTAACAGTCAACGGGCCAGTCAGTAACAGTCAACGGCCAGTCAGTAACAGTCAGCGGACCAGTCGGTAACAGTCAACGGGCCGTCAGTAACAGTCAACGGGCAGTCAGTAACAGTCAACGGCCAGTCAGTAACAATCAACAAACCAGTCAGTAACAGTCAACGGGCCAGTCAGTAATAGTCAACGGGCCATCGGTAACAGTCAACGGACCAGTCAGTAACAGTCAACGGGCCAGTCAGTAACAGTCAACGGGCCAGTCGGTAACGATCAACAGGCCATCGGTAACAATCAACAAACCAGTCAGTATAACAGTCAACGGGCCAGCCAGTAACAGTCAACGACCAGTCAGTAACAGTCAACAGGACGGTCAGTAACAGTCAACGGGCCAGTCAGTAACAGTCAGCGGGCCAGTCAGTAACAGTTAACGGGGCAGTCGGTAACAGTTAACGGGCAGTTAGTAACGATTAACGGGCCAGTCAGTAACAGTCAGCGGCTCAGTTAGTAACAGTCAGCGGTCCAGTCAGTAAGTCAGCGGTCCAGTCAGTAAGTCAGCGGGTCGGTCAGTAACACTCAGCGGGTCAATCAGTCAGTAACACTCAACGAGCCAGTCAGTAACAATCAGGCGGGGCGGGTGGGGCGGGGCAGTGGGGCAGGGGCAGGGCAGGGGGGCGGGTGGGGCGGGGCGGGCGGGCGGCACCACCTGAGGGCCGCCCACCTGACACTCCATAATATACCTGAGTGGCACCTGCACCCGAGCCCTTGTTACCTGCCGCCACCTCCACCACCTGAGTGCCACCCCTGTTTCCCCTACCACCCTGAGTACCACCCTGTTTCCCCACCTGGTGCCACCTTGTTTTCCCTACCACCCTGAGTGCCACCCCTGTTTCCCTACACCTGAGTACCTGTTTCACCCCTGAGTGCCACCCCCTGTTTCCCCAGCCACCCTGAGTGCCACCCCTTGTTCACCCTCACCCACCACTTAAGCGTCACTCCTTCCACTCGGGCTTACTAAAGGAAAGGAGACGAGGAGGGGGAGAAGAGGCAGGAAGGGGTAAAAAGATGGGAGAGAGGGCAGTGAGGAGACAGAAGGAAGGGGAAGGGGAAGGGAGGGGGAAGGTGGGAGGGGAGGGAGGAAGATGGGAGGGATGGGGGAGGAATAGTGAAAGGGAAAATTTGGGTTGATAGTGGTGGGGGTCAGTGGCACGGCAGAACACTTAGTGACTACGAGTATTCTGGTGGGGAGGAGGACGAGAATAAGG